CCGAGCGACTCCAAGCAACTGCCCACCGAGCCACTCCAAACACCAACCACCCGAGCCACTCCAGGCACCTACAAATTGAGCCACTTCAGGCACCTTCCGACCAAGCCACTCCAAGAACTTCTACCCACCGAGCGACTCCAAGCACTTACCGACTGAGCCACTTCAAGCACCTACGGGTCGAGCCACTCCAAACACCTACCGACCAAGCCACTCCAAGCCACCTATCGACTGAGCTACTCCAAGGACCTATACCGATCGAGCCACTCCAAGCACCTATACCGCCTAAGCCACTCCAACCACCTATACCGACCGAGCCACTTCAAGCACCTATACCGACCGAGCCACGCTAACCACCTACCAACGGAGCTACTCCAAGCACCTATCCAGCGAGCCATTCTAAGCACCTACTGACTGAGGAGTCCAAGCACCTATATCCACCGAGGCACTCCAAGCACATATACCGACCGAGGCACTCCAAGCACCTACTGACTTAGCCATTCCAAGCACTCCCAACACCTTCCGATCGAGTCGCTCCATGCACCTACAGACCAAGCCACTCCAAGGCTCCAAGCATCTACCCGTCGATTCACACCAAAAACCTACCGACCGAGCCACTCCAAGCATCTAGCGATCGAACCAGTCCAAGCACCTACCGACCGAGCCTCTCGAAGCACCTACCGACCGAGCGACTCGAAGCACTTACCGACTGAGCCACTCCAAGCACCTACTGACCGACCTGCTCCAACCACCTACCCACCGAGCCGCTCCAACCACCTACACACCGAGCCACTCCAAGCACCTACCCACTGAGCCACTCCAAGCGCCCACCCACCGTGCCACTCCAAGCACCTACCCACCGAGCCACTCCAAGGACCTGCCGATCGAGCCACTCCAAACACCTTCCCACCGAGCCACTCCAAGCGCCTACTTACGGAGCTACTCCAAGCACCTACGGGGCGAGCCACACTAAACCACCTAACGTCGCTACCGACCGAGCCACTCCAAGCACCTACCAACCGAGCTACTCCAAGCACCTATACCGACCGAGCCACACAAAGCACCAGTACCGCCAGAGCCACTCCAACCACCTACACCGATCGAGCCACTCCAGACACCTATACCGACCGAGTCACTCCAAGCACCTACCAACCGAGCTACTCGAAGCACCTATCCACCGAGCCACGCCAATCACCTATGGACCGTGGAGTGCAAGCACCTACTATTTGAGCCACTCCAAGCACCTACCAACCGAGTCACTTCATGCACCTACAAAACAAGCCACTCCAAGCACCTACCCACCGATTCACACCAAGCACCTACCGACCGAGCCACTCTAAGCATCTACCGGCCGAACCAGTCCAAGCATCTACTTATCGAGCCTCTCGAATCACCTACCGACCGAGCGACTTGAAGCACCTACGGACCGAGCGACTCCAAGCACCTACTGACCGAACCGCTTCAACCTCCTACTGACCGAGCCGCTCCAACTTCCTACCCACTAAGCCACTCCAAGCACCTACCTACTGAGCCACTCCAGGCACCTACCCACAGTGCCACTCCAAGCACCTACCCACCGAGCCACACCAAACACTTACCCACCGAGCAACTCCAAGCACCTACCGACTGAGCCACTCCAAGCACCTACCCACTTAGCCACTCCAAACACTTACCGATCGATCCACTTTAGGCACCTACCGACCAAGTCATTCCAAGAATCTCTACCCACCGAGCCACTCCGAGCACCTACCGATTGAGCCACTCCAAACACCTTCCCACCGAGCCACTCCAAGCACC